GAAAAAGAAAAAGAAAAGAAACTGATCCTTATCCAATTATTTTCCCTCTTTAAATCCCTCAACTTTTGAACATTTTACCATTAAGCCCCAAAACAGCATTTTTCCACAATTTAGTCCTTAACTTAAATGATAAAATTCTCGAAAATTTGGGATATTACATCCACCCCTCCTAAAAAGGAGTTTTGTCCCCAAAACTCAAATCTAGGGTCGTCTCAAGTGGTGAATGGCTTCACCCAATCCGAGACAAAACAATTGCCTCATCACTTTCTAGGAACAGAACACGGCCTATTATGCTTCTGCTGCGCCACTCTAATATCAAACCACAACTAATCTTAAAAAGTAGAACACTAATCACTTAACAGGATTTACCATGAAACAAGCTACTGGAGGCTGGGGTGATATGAGAAGCACAAGGAATAAAAAAAAATCCTGCCAAAGCCACAGAAGAACAATTGTGGGGTTACGCTTCGAACCCAACACAAGACGAGTTGGCAAAGAATGGCATGGATTTACAGACTCGTACAACAAAACTTGAACTCTATCAAAGACGAATAAGCATCCAATGGATATATGGATCATGAATGAATGAACGAGTGCATGGATGCCTTATACATTTTGCCACAATAAAGGTAACCAATAAGCAAGATCATGTTTAACAAAGCAAATGGCAATCAAGAAACAGATTTTAGCAATTAACAAGAGTTAAAAGTTAGGACCATCAAATGACGTGAAATTTCCAAAATAGCATCAAAATGAAATCAGTAGAAAATATGAATGCTTGGAAGAATATTGGAACATAAGAGTGAAAGGTAGAATGCCTCAAAAATTTAGCAACAAAACGGCATTCACCAAGAATCAAGATCAAATTTAACCAAGCAGTCAAAATTGAGAGACAAGAGTTAACCATGAAACAAGTAATAGAATCCAAGGATTAAACCCACAAAAGAGATTTCAATAATGACAACCAGAACACGGATTCAAGAACAGATATAACTAGGATGTCAAGATCTAGCACCTCAAGTACTAGAATTAATTAACACAACAAAGCAATGGCTGGGATCAAGATGCTTAGAAGATTCATGTCTTCTAGTTAAAGGCCAAACAAGAATCTAAGTAGTCAAATAAAAGAACAATTTCAGTTGAAACAAAACTCTAGGGCATCAGGCACTTCAAAGACTACCCCTTCACCTCGTAGCTCATGGAGACTAAGCAAGTTTACAATCAAGTCATCCTAGAGTCAAGTCAAAGCTGAGACATCAAGGATACAGAGATTAACACTTGCAAGAGACAGGAATCAGGATACCTCATATAGGTATTTTGTCACCCCTCCTAAAAGGTGTCCATATGAACAAAAACCAAGAATCAAAAAGATCAACAGGTATACTAAAACAAGAACTAGCAGAATATGCAAGATTTGAGCAAGAGCAGTATACCGAATTTGAACAAGAGCAATATACAGAATTTGAACAAGAGCCAGTGTCAAAACAAGAATGGTTTTCAAGGTCAACTCAAAATAGATTTCAAGAACAATGCAAGGATTAATTTCAGACAAGTACCAAGATAATGAGGATTTCAATAATCATTATCCATTTCTGGATTTCAGTTTCAAGAACAAGTACAAAGCAATATCAAGAAAGATTCAAGATGGATTTTAGGAGTTTCAAGCAGTTTCAACAGACATAAAGAATGTAGAGATTGGCAACAATAGAGAGTTTAACTTTATGACAACTTGCCAATCTTCACAAAAACAAGGCAATTTCAATTGAAGGATCACTGTTCTTGATTAACCAATATAGAAAAATGAGCCACATGAAAAGACCATGAAGCTCCAAATGGAAAAAGTGAAATTTCACTATAAGACTTTCAGAAAGATAAGGAGCAATGGAATTACCAAGTAATCCAGCTCCTAAAACGCAACTAGAAAACACACAACATTTGCTAAAATAGCCTGGAATCTCTTACGAAGTAGAGGGTTACCCATCTTCCACTGGTCGTGACAAACAGAACAAATTTCTCAACCAGCTATGCTGTAGAGACCAACAGGATCAATAACAAAAGATCTCCGCAACTCCCCAGATTTTACAATTGTGGCAAAAGACCATACAAAAATTCTATTCACGTAACAAGTCTAAACAAGTGTAGACTATCAGAAAATGACCAAGCTTCCAAGAAAGGTCTTAAGGATATGACGGGCAAGATTAATTTCATGAATCTACACGGGGTATGAAGGTAGGAAACAAGAATAATTAGATTACTATCTCATCAAAATGGATTACAAAATTCAGGCAACAGGAATCAGAATCGTCCCTTATATAATCCCATCACTCGTCTCACCACGATTCTACAATCCACTGGCTAGCCAAGTCCAAAACAAATCCTAGGTATTCAATTAAACCTAGGCTCAGATATCACTCAATCTGCTTTGATGCCACTCAATCTGGAGGTGCTTAATTTAATCTTAAGCTCTCAATTTCAACCTAGCTCTTAATTTCAACCTAGCTCTTAATTTCAACCTAAGCTCTGATACCACTAAATTTGTCATGCCCCAGAACCCAAATCCGAGGCACAACAGACGCTGTGCACTCGTGAGACGGGTCCCACAAATGCACAAGGCTCGGAACTTAATCATATCGTACTACTTAATCATATCGTACTCTGATACCATCAAAATCTGAAGATCAAATCTTATAATTTGCTCTAATATCATAAATCTCCAATAAAGTCTCCAAATACAAGATCATGATTTGTTTCTAAATCTATGTTCAATTACAATAT